CACCCATCCTAGCCTTCAAACAAGCACCGAACCTCGCCAACCTCATCACCAGAAGCAAACTTCCTCAAGCCCAGAACACACCAAAAGGATCCAGACCATGCCAGGACAAGAAATGCAAAACTTGCCAGCACGTCTCCACCACCCCTACAGTCACTACACCCCACAACAGAGCCATCAGCATCCCAGGATCTTACAGCTGCACCTCCAGAAATGTAATATACCTCATCCAATGCACCAAATGCCCTGATGGAAGATACGTAGGAGAGACCAAACAACAACTGCGCACCAGAATGAACGCACACCGGAAATCCATCAGAGACAGAAATACCCAATTACCGGTGGGGGCACATTTCTCACAGGAGGACCACTCTCTCTCCAATCTCTCGGTCCTGATCCTCAAGGGAAACTTACACAACACTTCCCAGAGACGAGCCTATGAGCTCCATTTCATCAACCTCCTGGATACTAGAGATCATGGACTAAACATAGACATTGGATTTTGATACATTATAATCTGCCTGGCAACTGACTCCCCAGCCCAGCCCCTGGCTTCTTTACTTTTCATTCCATCCAGGAAGAGCACACACCAACTGCTGAAACTTCCTTAGCCTGGCGAAGGGTTTTTGAACCTGAAAGCTTGCTTAATAACTATTCTCCAACTATTTGGGTTGGTCTAATAAAAGATATCAAATTCACCCAAGGAACCTTGTCTGCCTATGTCCTTAGACCAACACGGCTACAACCTAAACCCCTGCAAGGTGAACACTCACATTTCAAATCCCTCTACACAATTTCCTTCTTTCCATTAAAACTACTAGCTGGAATATGCTGGACTAATAAATGAACATGGTCAACATGAAAACAAAAGAAAGAAAAATCTTGTTACATTCTGAGATACAATGATGCACCATTTCTATATCCAACACCTCCTTCCATGACTGATCAGGGTTTGCAGTACGTGAGTTCTGCTATGGTTACAATACTCAGAGGAAAGAACCAGCCAGTATCTCACCTTGAGCACAGGCAACCTTATTGTACAACTGCCTCTGTGGGGTTGATGGCTGTGCTGGGGGATTCTAAACCATACAGGTACTCCTGGTCTTTTAATACACTGGGGCTGCAAAGCTTAGACCTGGAACATCAGAACTGCCATGCAGGAGCATAGTCTGCCTCATCCCACTCATCTAGGCTAGTGTCCCATCTCAGTGTCTAGCACTGTTTGCTTCAGAAGAAGAAACAAGTAATTGCAACAAATGTCAATGGTGGAACACACTCTCTCCCATGAGTAAATTTGTAACAGTTAAGGCTTGCTTCAAACCCTGAAGTGTTAAAGGTTTATATCCCATTTCAAGCTCTTAGCATAATTAATATAAATCAATTTATATTATCATCCAATCTCTTTGTGAACGTTATTTTATTCCTGGCCCTCAGTGATCTGATCTGATGGTGAATTCTACATTTAATCAGGTTTGGACCTTTTAGATTCTTTGAATCTTCCTTGGTTCTTGTGTTACAACGGGAAAGAGAAGATCCTGAAATACCTTGTGCCCCATTCACCATTTTCTATATTTTACTATGTTTTATTTACTTCCGTTTAATGAAAACAATACCAATAATTTCAGTTTCCCTTCATATGAGACTTTTTCAAGGCCTACAATTTTTCATGAGAAAGATTACAGTAGTATTGGAGTGTTGTTGAAGCCATGACAGTTGAGAAAATGGGTGACACACAAGGATTTCTGTGGTATCT